AGATACATGACTGAAAAAAAGAAGAGGAAAAAAGAAGGAAAAGAAATCTAGTTTTACTAGAAGGTATATGTAAATTATTGATATATAATTTTGGGGTGGAAAGGACCTTTGTAAAACATACCAAAAGGAAAAGACAAATAATATAAAACTGTCAAACCATTAAAAATGATGGTCAACTGGAAACCAAAATTGGCACAGGATGGAAAAAGTTGAATGCCTTTATACTTAAAGAGCAGATAAAAACCAGTTAGATTCCAATTCACCCAGTGAGGGATCCCTCTTCATAAACTTCCGTCTCGCCTCACCTTTCACTGTCCCCGGCGGCCAGTCCCGGGAGGGATGCTCTGAGAATTCATGATCCCCACGGCCAACCTCTTCTCCCTGAGATCCCATCGTACACCACACTCTTGTATGTCACCCTTTGAACTCTCAGCCTCCCCAGACATCCCTTAGATCTAATCTTTCCCAATCTCCTGCTCCCATTCAACCCCTGATCCTCCCACAGTGCCCTCTGGAATGCATGGGGTCACTGAGAGGACCTCCCCCATCCCAGCCTCCTTAAACAGTCTCTTCCCTGCCCGTGTGCTAAGTTAAATCTGAACATCCCCTGAAGAAACAGCCTCCCCTACAGGCCTATCCAGTGGGGGCTGTTTTATCTTCCTGGAACCTGTTGTTTTTGACCTGTCCCCCCATCTTCCAGTTAACCCACCAGCTATATTCGAAGCACCAAACCTTGAGGCTGAACTACACGTACTGCTCTTCTGGCCACCGCCTGCTGTTGCAGGGCTCTGCCTGACCTTCAGCATTTCAGCTCCCGGCTTACTGTGTGTTTCTTTCCAAACGGTAGGGCTCCGTGGCCACTTCGATGACTTTGCCTTCCCCAAAGTATATCCATACACCACCCTGTTCCTTTACTTCCTCACTTTTTATGTACTCACCCAAGCTTGTCCAGGCATTCTCCCTTTTCTTACCTTATCAGCACCCGTAACCGGGCTGCCTCTGAGAGCAATTTCAAGCACACCGTCTCCCCAGCTTACTTCCTCCACTAGGTCCTCTCCAGCATTCTTTGACCCCTGTCTCCAATCCATGGGGATGAGCCACCACATTTTAAATGACCATTTCCTGCCCTGTGTCCTACTTCCCTTCTTATCCATCACTATCATTTTCCTTGCATAAAGACTTAATTCCTTTTATACTCTGACCCATTTGTCTGGCAATACTTATCTGGCTGAATATAACTTTCCATCGGCTCTGTCTTGAACCTGACAAACATGATTGGAGAACAGCAAACATGATTGGAGAAAAATAACCATCTGAACTGGTTTCAGCTAAACTTATGACCATAAACCTCCTGTGGTCTCTCAGAACTGCCCAGCAACCCTGCTTACTGCACGGCCTTACTCAAACCAGTTCTCAGGCTAACTCCAAACACTCTTTCTCAATCATCAGCTCCTCTTCTCACCACACTCAGTGGTTGATTTTACTGTATTTCTGAGTAAATATTCACGAGATCTTTCTCATTCTCTCATCACCAAATCTAACTAACTTACCTTGTCTTCCCCAGTATTAAAATGGATAAACTCTTCTAGCTTTTTTAGGTCACATCTTCCTCTTATACTGGATCCCATTCCTGGAGAAATTAACTCCAGCAACTCTCCCTTCTGTTATCTGCAATATCCATTTGTCTCTCTCCATGGAAGGCTCAGGTCCACATGTAAATCTATTAAGACATGTCCATTGTAGAAATATTAACAGAGACCTTGACCTCGCCTTCCCTTACTGGCACCAGGTAAATGCTTCAGAAGAATGAGACGCTTGTCCGCACTCTCACCATCCCACTCACACCTGTTTTCACAGCTCTGCTTAACTGTCCTTGCCAAGTTACCAAGGGCTTCCCTGACACCCAAGCCTGCGGTCAGTTCTGCCCTCAAATTGCTGCTCTTTTCAGCAGCATCTGACACATCAGCGTCAGATTGGACAGATCACACCCTCCCTAAAAATCATTCTTCCCTTGACTGTCAGGACACCACTCATCTGGTCGTCTGACTGCCCCTTTTGTCCCCCCGAGCTGTGTATCTCCCTAAATGACCCTATCTGATACCACAGCATTAGATGATCCACGTATCTGTAATTCCTGAGTATCTCCAACGTCTGCCTCTCATCTGAGCCCCAGGGCTGTACATCCATCTTCCTACTGAATTACCTCCTCTTGGAAGTCCGATAGGAATCTTACACTTAACAGTGTCCAACACTGAATAAATTCTTTCCTTTAAATTTTTCCTTTCCAAGTCTGTCCTTTGCTCAGGCCACAAAACCAGAGATTCATCTCTGACTCACTTCTACCCCACATCCAATGCACCAACACATTTTGTTGACTTGCCTTGAAATGCAACCGCAGTAGGACACACCACCTCCACAGCCACCTCGTCTGGGTCCTCAGGAGCCTCTAACAGACTGGAAGCTGGGCTCTGACCAACCACAGTCACTCTCCTCACTGTGACCCTTCTGAAACACACAGGATCCTCACTCCCTTGGCTGAAACTTTCCAGTGGCTTCCCATTGTTCTCAAGCACGGACAAGGTCCTTACTACGGCCAAAGCCACACCAGATCTGGCTTCTGCCAACCTCTGTAACTCTCGTCGTAACTCTGCTGCCCTTGGATTCTGCTCAGCCACACTGGCCTGTCCTCAGTCACACCAAGCACCTCAGGACTTTTCTTCCCGGAATGCCCTTTCCTCAAGGGTCACCTGCCAACCCCTACCTTCATTAAAGTCCCTGCTCGAATGTCACCCACCTCCAAGAAACCTTCCATGCCCACTCGACCTCAAGTCCTCCCATTCACTCATCCACTTTTTCCCATAGCATTTGGTGCCCTCTGATGTTATACAAACCTCATTACTCAGATTGTGTTTGTGAATTCACCTATTTGCTAACATTTATTTGCAAATTATAAAAACCAATATAGTATTTGTGGTTCTTTATGGGCAAACACAGAGCAGTGAAAAATTTGAGTCACTTGCCATATACATTCCCCTCTGACATTGTTGGCCTTGTGCTAAATGTTTATTCATCAACAATATATATTACATAAGGTATCTTTAAACAGAAACACACAAAAGCAAGGTTATTTGTTAATCTGTGGGTCAAGAAACCAGAGGTGACCAGAGGCTCACACGAAACTAACTCTATTTCCCCTAGGAGAAAAGGTTCAGAATTTGCTAATTTAGGGTTCACGGAAACTTTATAGCAAAGCTGCCACAAATAGCAACAATCAACTTTATCTCCTATTACCACCTAACACTATATATTTTTCCTTGTTAAAACGCAAAATCCTGAAGAGCAAGAATTTCCTTTTTTATTTTTTTAACTGTCTTACCGCTGAGATTAATAACAGTGCTTGGCTCTTGGCCTTGATAGCAAGGTTATTACTTTCTCTCAAAATAGAATTGTTGGATGGTGTCCCACCCTGGTCACAAATAAATTTCTCAGGGAGAAAGATATTTGTGATATACCATTTGCACATCAACACAAAAACAGACAACTTTTTCTATTATAGATCATTTACTCATCATGTAACATTAAAGTTGTACTAACAAGGTTTCCTGCCATCCTTTGTACGGGGAGAAAAAGGAGACAAGTTGTATGGGGGACGTTTACATTCCACGGCACTCCATCTGTATAAGAAACAGTAGTAACACCGTCACACATTCATATACCATATACAGTCATTTACGTTCAGAAAGATTAGTGTTTTTCTGGAACAGACCCCAAATTTAAAAAGTAGGTATTTAATAGTACCCAACTGTTCAAAATGCCAGAAAACTGACACAACTTTTTTTAATCATTTTGAAATCCTCATTCTCCAAAAGTACTAATGAAGCCAACAGGGAAAACAAATTCCTGAACATTTTAAATTGTGAAACAGATTGCACGCTTTAGGGGCGGGACCAAAGGTAGAACCTTCAGTAGCTCACATTCTGTTCATGACAAGGCCAGTGTAGCAACACCACCTAAAATCATGGCAAGTTTTTCCAAGAGCAGTAATAAATATTAAAAAAGAGTTTTCAACAACTCTCAAACAGATATTCATCAAAATGAGGTAAGTCTGTGTCATCTGCTAAAGAGTTTAATGCTGAAGTGGAAAAAAATTCATCAAAAATATCAGTCTTCACGGAACTTTCCCAGTTCAATGTTCTACTGCAGGCATTACTTGTGAGAGAGTTTGGTTGAACTTGGCATTGATTTTTCTTGGAGGGGCTGCAGTAATTGTGGTCCTGTCTCAGATGTATGTTGGGGGGAGTACTGTCTAAAGCATTAGGTACTGGTGCCGGGATGTGGTTGTCTCCCATTTCTAAGTATCTAAAGTCAGCCTCCCCGTTTTCTGAGAGTGCTGTTGAAACAACAGTTGAAGGAGACAGCAATTCTGCTAAAATTTCTTCATGAGTTTGACCACTGTAAGAGGAAACACCAGAAACTGTGGTGCATCCGGATTTATTATCGGCAATATCAATTTGATATTGTAGTTCTTTTAACAAAACTTCTATTGAGTCACAGTCATTAGGAGACCCACACTGGGACACAGGTTCTACATTTTCACTTGCAGGCATTCCATTTTGGGGCGAAGACATAAGAGCAGCCAGTTTCTTCTTTTTTGCCTTAAGTTTTTTAAGAAGTTTTAGACGAAGTTTATGAATCTGACCCTCAACTGAGTCTCCATGGTTTACTGAAGAAACACCATTTTCATTTCCACAGGAACTGTGGCTGAGGTGAGCTCCTTGTGAGGCGTTTTCACTGTTCTTCAAAACTTCTGAAGCAGCACTGACATCAGCCTGTAGATGAGAAGCCACGTCCCCTGGCAGTGGGTCACTTGGTGGAGGGTCCCCAACTGAAGGAGGCTTACTTGCAAACCTGTGAGCTTTCCTGGATGCCTGGTTGGCCTTTTGGTTTCTACCTTTAGTTTTAAAGCCACCAAAATTACTGGCCCCTTTAACTGAAGGCTGCAGATCAGCTACGGTGTTTCTATTATGAGCTAAGACACAGGGCGGCATAAAAGATGCCCCCTTGCTTAGCAAGCCTTTAACCCAACTTCCCACAAACGGTTTCTTCTGAGTCTCTTTCAGAGATGGATTCTGTAGTGACTTAGCTGCTATGGTTTGAGAACATGCTGCAATTTCTTTTTTCTTCGAATTAGATACCTGAGGTTTAACATAATGTTCTGGCTTTAATTTCTCTGTTTTTGGTGAAAGACATTGTTTTAATGGGATGTCCTTCTCTGAGGAAACTGTACCTTCAATTTCTATTGCTTTTACTTCCTGTATAGGATCAAGAGCACGGGCATTATTCACGGGTTCAGTCATTTCAGTGTCTTCTGCGCTCAGCTGTACAGACTGCATGTCTGCATTCACAATTTGAGATGGAAAGCTTAATTCCACACACGGGTCTTGGGTAAGCTTTTCCTTACACGAAGCTGATACTAGAGAAGCCATTAGTGGTTCTTGGGATTGTGGAGTATTTGTTCTGACAACGCCTCCATTTTCTGCCACAGGTTTATTTACTAATGGGAAACCTTCAGATTTAACCTGCGTTTCTTCAAATGTCAAAGGTAAAATACTGTCAACCAAACCTTTTGGGCTTGGAAGTAAATGATGTTCAAGAGCTACAACTCCATCCCATGAAAGAGTGGGAGCAACAGATGTATTTGGGGGCTGAGTTCCTGAGGACGCCTCAGCTGAGGCAGCGTCAGCCACAGAAAATACCGCCGGGGACGCTTGCCCCTCACCTCCGGACGCGGGCTGGCCATCAGTCTTTTCCAGTGGAAGGCAGGCAGCTGCTTTATCTGCCATTTGGGACGCCTTTCTTTCCCAAATAACAATATGTATCTCTGAAGCAGGCACTTTAAATTGCTCACGTCTTTCAGCACATGGGCCTTTTAAGTCATCACACTCCAGCCAGCTTCCTGGGGGATGGGGAAAGAAAATGAGAGAGGGTAAGACATTCAAACCACCATCCAAGGGTTTTCTGGCCTTTTTCACTGCTATATCCTATGGAACAGCCACCACAGGAGAACTCTCAAAATTATCGCCTCCTTATGTCTACATTTTCTATGCCAAATACCAACTTCCGGATTTGGATAACAAAAGTTCTGGACTAACTCCAGAAATCTGAAACACAGAGAAGTTTTCATCGTTTCCTAAATACCCACAACAACCAAGAGAGAGGTTTATTTAACCTTTGGGACCACCAGAAATTAGATTAAGCTTTCTATATAATATATGAATTTTCAAGTACCAACATTTGTTTAAATTATTTCTCTTTTTGGTTTTAAAAAAAGCCTCACTATTCACGTGTCTGCTCTCATTTTATTTCTGAGCCTCTGTTATTTGTTGAGCAGAAATGAGATTATGGAATGACAACAGGAGAGGTAAACCCTCATCAACACACACAAAAAAACCTCCCAACAAAACCGTTCACTAAGTTTCTGTGGGTGCACCCTTATAAACTACCTTAACTCACCACTGTTTATTCTATAACCATTAAAACTTTGGTAATCCTTTATTTGGCTGTATGTCAGTGATTCTCCACCACACATGCACCTTAGAATCACCTGATTAACATTTGGGCCCATTCCCCACAGACAATGATTCACTGATCTAGGGGAGAGCCAGGATATTTTTCATAACCTAACAATATGATTTTTATATGCTATCAGGGTTGGAAACTATTTACTCTTCTACCTGAAATGGACTTTTTCATTCCTGGGAATGCAAGAAAAAGTAAAACATGTTGACTTTTTAGTTTTCATTCATGTTGTTGAGAACTACTTCCCCCACAAATTCTGGAGTATGGTAACACTCTAAGGTAATAATTACACTTATTATGTGAATTTCAGTTTACAAGGTGCTTTGAGAAGCAATACATTATTGTGTCATCCATCCAAACCATCCCCAAGGAGGAAAATATCAAGTATGAAAAAGTGTCCAAACAATATAAAATAGAAAAGTAGAAAAAGATCAAAGTGACCCCTTCCCAAAAGCCTGATATAAGACTTTCAGGGGACTGAGTTATCTGTGTAAGATAAAGCGAACATTGTGAGAGAAAAAAAAAAACTCTAAGTAAATCACATTGGATAAAGGGAGGTGAAAAATTAGCAAACTTCATGAGTTGTACCATTTAACCATATTTCCTTGAAAAGCTTAATTATTTAAATAACGGTTTTACCTTGACAGTAGCTGCTAGCAAACTATGCATTTCAGATATTCTACTTCACAGTGTGAGAAGACTCACAGTCTGTAATGGCGAATTGTCTTAGAAATAGATGTTTAATTTCTATTACTGACAACCGCAAACAAAGCAAAATTTGTCTTTTTGTTCTTTCTCAATTAAAAATCTTCAATCTGATGCATTTTCTTTCAAAAGTACAAGGTTATGTATCTAAAAAAAGTCAAAATTTCCAGCATTCATTTTTCTATACTGAGCATGTTACTCATATGATAAGAACAAAACACAAAAGCAAAGCAATTAAGTGTATAAAGCAAACTGTAAACCAACAGTAGTATATGATCTCATTCTTTGTCAAAAAGGAGAAACAAGCACATGCATGTGTATGTCCATTAATATGCTGATATAAGCAAAAAAAAAAGTTAGGAGTGACTGGGAACCATCTAGTGACAGGGTAGAGGACACAGGCAGAGGATGAAAGGCAACGAACAGCAAGAAGAGGGAAAAAGAGCCAAGGCAAAATTTGTCTTTAAAAACAAAAACTAGAGCTTGGTCCCCACACCTATTATCATGAAAAAAAAAAAAAAGTTTAAACACTTACCATCAGCATCTAAAATCCACGTTATAAAATGATTATTTGCTTGGTACTGAATTACAGAAGTTACGTGATAAAGACAGCCTCCAAAATGAAATGAATATTGCTCCAAGTCCTTATGCGGCAAGCCTTCTACAAAGTGCAACATGAATATGGCGGATACTCTGTGGGAGAGAAAGCGAAAGAAGTTGGACAAATTTAATGCCATGTGCCTGGCTATACAGAAGATGATGGGAACAGAGGAAGTCACACAACACCTTCAAGGCTAACTGCACTAATTTTTCTCGAGAGCCTCCAGATGTGTGCCTTAATTAGAAATGGAGAAGTCCCTCTACAAAGTATGTAACAGTAAGCTCTTCCCAGAATGGCAGCACTGAGGGTTGGAAGCCGTCATGCAATAAGGCTCCTCACACACACCATTAAACAAAAACTGCTCGGGAAGCCACAACGCTGCTTTGGCTTAAAGGGGATCTCTTGGTAACTACTTTGTAGAATCAAAGGAAAAAGTCCAGACCTTTGAGAACTGTCTTTGGCATTAAGTGCGCAAATTAACTATTTTTGTTAGATGGGATAGGTTATTAGTGAAACAAAGTAACAAGCCTAAGACAGTCGAATAAACACTAAAAAAAAAAACCCAACACACTAATAATTTGGCCTGTTTCTCTGTTATCTCAAGAAGTAGAGAGGTCCGTCAAATTAAAATTTTTACTAAGGAAAGCTTCATTTGTAACTAGAGAAGAAAACACAACATATCCTGGTTGATTTACTAGGAACTTCAAGACATGCAGGATTTCAAAAATAATTTTATCATTATAGTAACATGAAAAGAGAATCCAAAGATGGGCTCAAATAACTAAATTTAACAAAGCTTTCAAGATTTAAGAAAAATGTTGAACAACTCTTTTCCCAACATTTAAACAGCTATCAAAACTTACTTACCAAAATTTATTCAGCTGAAATGAACTTGAATTAATCAAAATGCCGATTATCTGGACTGACAAGGGATAATTTGTAAATTATCTCTTGTCAATCATTCTGTTAGAGAATAATCAAGTCTTCAAGATTTAAGTAGTTATAAATAAAAAGTCCTGCAAACTGTCAATTAAACTCCCATTTTTATCATACCTATTTCATTGACCTAAAATACACCACTCTGAAAAAATACTAAAAAGCTATACCATGCCATCAGTTTTTAGACATATTCCATTTCAAATATGTTAAAGTGTGAAATGTCTGTCTTTGAGTCAATGATCAACAGTAAAACCAGAGACACATTCTTATAGCTGGATATGCAGGCTTTAGGCACCTGCCGACTCTTAAATACTAGTATTTAGTTCTCCTGGCCTTATATACTTTTCAAAATGTCTTCTGAGGCTAGTTTCTGAGCCATTCCTGCAATCTCACTAAGGTTCTTGCTTTTTTTATGTGAATTTATACATGGAAAATGATAAGTAGGCAACATTTCTTTCATAACAGAATATTTAAAAAATGGTACAACTTATAAATGATGGCACCTTGGAGTCAATAAAATAAAGCAAATGCCTCATTTTCTAGTTTATTTTCCTCTGCAGGTTCCCTAGAGATCATAGGATTCTCCTGCCCGATATCCAAGCTTGTCTTACTTCCAACCTCTCAGAAGAGGGCAGAACTTTACCCCTAGCTTGGCAACAGATTTCATTATCGGCTGCTGCTTCCACAATGCCCAGAGTGTCAAAGATGATGGTCAGTCAGAGTGGAGGAGAGCAAGTTAACTTCTGACTTAACCAGACCAAAACTGGATGGGATGGGCTAAAGAACTGGAACTAACAGTCACAAGAGACTTCAAGCAAAGATCCATTTGCCATGCACTTCCCTAATATGAGACTGAATTCCTCCTATTTTAAGAGCCTGCCCTCAAGAAAAGAAGAGACAAAGCAAAGGAAAGGGACCGTGCTAAGTGCCCTGCTACCCAAAGACACCAGAACACTGAGTCCCTGTTCCTCAAAGAGCCGCAACAGTCTTTGTGCTAATGGCCTAGAATACGAGTTTTTGATTTTCATCCCCACTAATTTAATGTAATATAATTCATATTGTGGAAAATGCAACTTTAATAATGCATATAATGTACTTCTGAACAGTAATAATAAGTGTAATAGGATTTAGACAGAAAAAACCCTGCAAATATAATTTTTAAATCTCATTATATTTTATCTCAAGAAGTAGAGAGGTCCGTCAAATTAAAATTTTTACTAAGGAAAGCTTCATTTGTAACTAGAGAAGAAAACACAACATATCCTGGTTGATTTACTAGGAACTTCAAGACATGCAGGATTTCAAAAATAATTTTATCATTATAGTAACATGAAAAGAGAATCCAAAGATGGGCTCAAATAACTAAATTTAACAAAGCTTTCAAGATTTAAGAAAAATGTTGAACAACTCTTTTCCCAACATTTAAACAGCTATCAAAACTTACTTACCAAAATTTATTCAGCTGAAATGAACTTGAATTAATCAAAATGCCGATTATCTGGACTGACAAGGGATAATTTGTAAATTATCTCTTGTCAATCATTCTGTTAGAGAATAATCAAGTCTTCAAGATTTAAGTAGTTATAAATAAAAAGTCCTGCAAACTGTCAATTAAACTCCCATTTTTATCATACCTATTTCATTGACCTAAAATACACCACTCTGAAAAAATACTAAAAAGCTATACCATGCCATCAGTTTTTAGACATATTCCATTTCAAATATGTTAAAGTGTGAAATGTCTGTCTTTGAGTCAATGATCAACAGTAAAACCAGAGACACATTCTTATAGCTGGATATGCAGGCTTTAGGCACCTGCCGACTCTTAAATACTAGTATTTAGTTCTCCTGGCCTTATATACTTTTCAAAATGTCTTCTGAGGCTAGTTTCTGAGCCATTCCTGCAATCTCACTAAGGTTCTTGCTTTTTTTATGTGAATTTATACATGGAAAATGATAAGTAGGCAACATTTCTTTCATAACAGAATATTTAAAAAATGGTACAACTTATAAATGATGGCACCTTGGAGTCAATAAAATAAAGCAAATGCCTCATTTTCTAGTTTATTTTCCTCTGCAGGTTCCCTAGAGATCATAGGATTCTCCTGCCCGATATCCAAGCTTGTCTTACTTCCAACCTCTCAGAAGAGGGCAGAACTTTACCCCTAGCTTGGCAACAGATTTCATTATCGGCTGCTGCTTCCACAATGCCCAGAGTGTCAAAGATGATGGTCAGTCAGAGTGGAGGAGAGCAAGTTAACTTCTGACTTAACCAGACCAAAACTGGATGGGATGGGCTAAAGAACTGGAACTAACAGTCACAAGAGACTTCAAGCAAAGATCCATTTGCCATGCACTTCCCTAATATGAGACTGAATTCCTCCTATTTTAAGAGCCTGCCCTCAAGAAAAGAAGAGACAAAGCAAAGGAAAGGGACCGTGCTAAGTGCCCTGCTACCCAAAGACACCAGAACACTGAGTCCCTGTTCCTCAAAGAGCCGCAACAGTCTTTGTGCTAATGGCCTAGAATACGAGTTTTTGATTTTCATCCCAACTAATTTAATGTAATATAATTCATATTGTGGAAAATGCAACTTTAATAATGCATATAATGTACTTCTGAACAGTAATAATAAGTGTAATAGGATTTAGACAGAAAAAACCCTGCAAATATAATTTTTAAATCTCATTATATTTCTGATCTATTATACTGTTGAATTATTTCAGATTCTATGACAAAAGATGAAAAACATGAGTAAAGTCAGGTGTAATTCATTTTTTAAGAACTGGTTCATATTAACGGTAAAAAACACATCTTTAAAAATATTCAACTGTTCAACAGAGGTTTACAAACTATGTTCATGTTCTTTCGAGGACTGGGTTCTTTCAAGGACTTCATAAATAATAAAGCACCTTCTGCTAAACGATGAAGATTTAAATTAAGAAACATAATTTTAACTATTTATCAGTAATTCCATCCAAAATTTTATAGGTCTTGTAGTTTATACTGCTTTAAAAAAGTCTCAAAATCATTGTATTACACACTTTAATAAGCTCTGTAAGCACAAAACAGAAATGTCTTCTTTTCCTACCACTCCTTTATTCTTTACAAATACTTGTTAAAAAAAAAATCACTGTTAAAACTTAAGTTTAAAGAAATAAGCTTTTCAAATGACAATCCAGGACAGTGTATGACCAGACTCCTAAAGGAGATCATAGCAGTAATGAGAGATTTATTTCAAGAGTTGATAAAGTAAAACTAACTCAGATTCTAAGTGGGCACTCGACACCATCAATGGGCTCTTTTGCTTATGAGAACATATGAGAGATGTGGATGAACTGAGATAAGGTGTTCAGGTAACTTAAAACACTGTTAATTTTTAGAATGTTGTTAGATTGAATATCGTAATGGACCTAATCACTTTCAAGTTATCCCTCAAAACTATATTAAATTTGTTTCTAAATTCCATTAGAAACCAACAAATGAAGTAGTACAAATTTCAAAGTAAAAACCATGAAGGACTTTATAAAGACCATGTCATTTAAAATTTAAGTGAATTTTACACAGAGTTCAATTTACTTTACAATATAGTAAATGTCCAAATTATAAATTCTGCTTATAAGCAGAATTTGGCCATAAGAACCCTAAACACATTTCCCACTGAAACACTGTTACTCCCAATGTATGTATTTCCAGATCAGAGCATAAATCTTTAATGTAAATAAGGCAACATATTTGTGTAATTAAGTTACATGTGTGTAATTAAGTTATACGTTGCAATATGACCAGTTAACAGATTAGACAAAAAAGTAGTATGAGTTTATCTTCAATGCTGGGGTTTGAGAAACAGCAGGCATAAACTGTTAGATAAAATTATACACAACAAGAAGCCTCAAGCAATCAAGGTCCAGTGCAGGACGGTGGACACCCACACCCTACTGCCCTTCTACCTCATCAAGGAAAGGGTTTAAAAAAAACAAAGACCCCCTCAACACTTAACATCTCAAAGCTTGGCCCCAGTCAAGCTCCAGCAAGACTACGCACTTCTGGTTAAAGATCTCTTCTTTCCCACTCTGACCTCCCACTTAAAATGATAGTGAAGGGCAAAAAAAGGTAACATCAAAAGGACAAAGAAAGAGAAAGGAGACACAAGAGAACAAACAATGACTATTTAGAAGACAAAGAGAAAACAGACAAGTGGTAACTTAAGAGTAGATGAAATGATGGCATGAGTGCTAGAGTGGCCATACTGATGAGAAGGGCTCATATGCCCCACAGAACCCCCAAAAGACTCAGTATTTACAGGCAACAGATGTTGAAGAATGTGGGAGAAAGGCCCTGAGCTAAAAACTGGCATAGTGACAGGAAGTACATATAAAAAGCACTCCCCTGCACCAGGCCCAGGAATCAGTCAGCATATACTGAACACTGGAGCGGAAGGGTTTAAGGCAGCAGAAGAGAGGTTTCCAGAAAAAAAAAAAAGATAGGAGGATTAAAATATGGTGAAGCATTTTAGCATTTAGAAAACTAATGAATAGGTGTCTGAAGAATTTGGAAAAAATGAAAACTAAGCAATTAACAATTCCTGGAAAAATAAAGAGTTACAAAAAAATGAAATACAACCATGTACACTGCTTGGCTGAAGGGGGAATATATGCATATTCACATGCAATGAGCACTGATTTTACCAAAAATGTAGTCACGTTGGAAGGACAGGGAGAAGTTAAACAGAGATGAGGCCCAGGTGTTGGTGTAAGAGCCCTCCCCAGTCCTCAACTACTACAAAAAGAAGGGGACTATATTAAAGGTGGAATATGCACCTTGTTTTGAAATGTCAAAGTAAATACTACCTTAGAGGTTTAAAATAAATGCCTGCAGATGGAGTGGGGGGTGGGGGGGGGGGCACTGTTCTATGTTCCTTTTACATCTGGGCACTATTAGATTAATAGTATTGAGGATTCATTACTTGGATGAAAACAGACCTTCAGGGAATATTCTGAGGTGTTTCTTCCCACACTAAGGGCATCAGAAAAGGTAAGAAAAGGTTAATCTCACTGGTTCTTTCTTATACCAAATTATACCTCAAAATATTTCCCTAATATATAGAGTTTTGAGATAAGGGTGACTGAAAATGGTTAAAGAGGATGCATATGTGTGTCAGCGTATTGACAAGAGAGAGACAAACTGCCTAAAATGGGACTGAACCTGTGAGTTTATTAAGATATGGGGCTTCTGGTAACAATAGCTCTGACTTCTGTTTGAACCACTCCTCCCACTGAGGACAAATAGAAAAGCTGGCAAAATGTAACAAAGCACATTTGCTCAAGGGCAGCAGAAAGCTTACAAGAGGATGAAGAATTAGCAGGCCGAGGACTGGGAGAAGAGGGAAACTTAGACAGATACGGCTGTGGTTCCTCTTTGAGTCATCTTAGAGCTTGAAATTAGATGAGGGAAATCCCAGCATTCTCGTGACTCCAGGCACTTGGCCAAGGAGAGAAAAACTGAAGTTTAATATCCTTTGAGAGAAAAGGTAAAAGAAGGAAAGACACTTGGAGCTCAGGTCAGACAATCACCCTAAGTCAGCCCTTCAGGGGTATTTCAAGTTGGGACAGCTCACTTATTGGCCATTTCCTGAGACAGGCATTTTGGCAATTCATAAATACGTTAACTCAAACTTCTGAAGGGTAGGTTATAGTCATCACTTTCAATTCCACACATTAAAAAAAAATGTAAATCCATCTTCATTTTGTTCTGAAAATAGTAAGGAAATTTTAACTTACTCTTCCAATACCATTTTTCTTATCTGTGACTTATTGTGGCAATTGTTACATGGACCAAAATGAGCAGCATTAAGTGGGTGCCACTCAGGGGTGACATTTGTAAAGGTGACTAGATTCTTCATACATCTATAAAAAAGAAGACATAAATTCATTTAAGTAAAATTCATTTATGTTAATTTAAATCAATGTCTAAAATAACAGGTACTTTCCTTCATTTGTTTATTCACACTTTCCTATCCCATCAAACCATATGATAAATTAATATATCAATGTTCCATCCTAACACTAATAAAGTGTTTTGTGAGTACCGCACATAAATTACCTACCGTTTTTCAGCTAGGAGATGGAGAAAATGTTGAAGGAAGGGTTTCTGAAGAGCAATAACCATTGACTTTTTGCACCAGTAGTTCTCTTTTGCGGCACTGTCCTGAGCACTGTCCAATGTTTAGCATCATCCCTGGCCTCTACACACTAGACGCTGGGAACAGCCTCCAGTGGTAGTAGCTACCAGTACCTGAAGACATGTCCCATGGGATGCAATATCGCCCCAATTAAGAGCCACTGTTCGAAGGTTTTCAAAATCAGACCTCACCCTTCATTCAAAATATTCACAACTTAGCTATTCATTACTAAAACCAAAAGTATGAAAAGGGGGGTTTCCAAATATATAATCAGGAATACATACAACATAATTTTCTTCACCCTTAAAAAATCAGAATGTGAGTTGTGAAAGATTTTTCACAGGCTATACAAGTTCTAAATTTGCACTTTACTTGGAATACCTGACAGCAATAGGCATCTATAAAGATGATCTCTACAGATGTACATGGATCTCATCTGCATTTGTTTTAATAGAAATATGTTCAGAAGCATAATTATTTATTACCTGTGAGATACTAGCTTCTTTTCTAAACAGTAACAAATATTGATAAATCAGAAGTGAGATAAGCAGAGGCTGTTTCTTTAAAAATGGAGCAGTTCTCAAGGAAGTTAACATTTTTAAAAGCAATGCAACATACAGCTATCAACAAATGCACTGACAGTATTTCTGCTAAATTCTTGGTTCTCAAGGATAGTTATTAAATAAAGGCTCCTATTTTGTAGTTCATAAAGGGGAGTTTGAGTAACTAAGTGTTAACGTTCCATATGACACCTAACATTTTTAAGCACTTATGATACACAAGGAAGGGTGCACTAAGTACTTGTTTTCCAAACTAAATCAAGTAAAAGCTCTTAAACTGGCACTAAAATTAACAGCACAAAACCAAACAAGTTTGCCAAATATTCTCCCACCAGATCAAGTGGAAGAAAGTTTTAAGCTATCATATATTAAAATGTATTAAATGAAATTCCACTACCCTTTAGCCCTTCTTCCAAAACAACTTTTATTTTTAGAACAAAGGAATTTAAAAAACAACAGCAAAACCAAATAGCTAGGGCTTCTTCCCCTTGTGCTCTCAAGTTTTTTATATATACTGGCAAAATGACTTGTCCTGCTTCCAAAGCAACTTAAAGCAGCCAACAGATCAAAAATAATTACTAAGTCACTGGCCGTCTATTTCGCGTTTATAGGTTATCTCCCTAATTTGTCCAGGATAAGGATTACTTCCGTTGAGTTCCTGGCACACACAATATATTCAATGAAAAGCTGTCAAACAACTGAGATGTGAATTTTGGAAAAGCCATAATTAAGCGGATTTTAATCATCATCCTTGTTTATATCATTTAAAATCCAGGTGGTGATACTAATGTCTTACAGGTCAAAACAGAAGCCTGAACTTTGCCAGTTACTAGTGGGTCACCTTGGGCATCTATCCACTTTCAAGCTTCAATTTCCATATTTGTCAAGTCAGGGGAAAGCCAGATAAGCTCTATAAATCAGTGGTAGAAAACCTGCAAACTGGTATTTGTTCTTATACTCACTTATACAAAATAATTTAAGTCCTAGGTGTAAATGAAATACTACGTCTGACTCTGTGCTGGTACCTGTAAGCTAACTGGCAAAAAAAACAAATGTCTTCTGGCTCTGTCGCCTGACGTCCCTAGAGCGTGCTCTCGGACTCGACTCTCCTTGACTAATCCCTAAATATCTAAGAATAATCTCAGTTTAGATAATGCATATCTAAATATTTTTCCTCTCACATTTTTATTTAATGATTTTGAAAGACTCCCAATTTTTCTAATTTACTGGTGAGTGGGTTTAAGAAAAGAGGAAAGGATTTATCCTTATCAAAATAATTTAAATAAATGACTAACAGAAACTGGTCTGGCAATCTTTTTAAATGCCTGCTAGCGACTTTCTCATACATGGACAGAACAAGGGTATCACATCTGATGAAAATTTTTCCTCCCTGATTCCTCTTCTAAAATTGAATTTCTCTCTTTATTACAGGGTACATGTATAGAAGCAAAACAAAAAACAAAATGTTCCTCCCAAGGCCCAGCCTCAGGGCCATGCACATCCGTCGCGACCCCTCCACTCCTCACTTGGAGGCCTCAGGGAGGCAGAAGCTATGGCTGAGACAGCCCATGCGTAGAGGACTCCGGTGGTGGCGAGGCTTTCACGGGACTGAGGGAAGGAACAGAAAAGCCGAGGTTCCCTCTGAAACCTGCTTGTCAGACTCTGGGAGCCTTAAGTCGGTTTCCATGATGTTAAAAACATAAACATCAAAACCTCTAATCTCCAATAGAGAATAAACAAATCCACATATAATTTAAAGGAATTCTGACGTTTTCTTACTGAGCAGGGACTCCAGAGAGGCCATGGAGGGGAATGTGCTACTTGTCCCATTTGTCCCCACTTCCCACTGAAGAACTTAAGAAAACTACTAGTAATCTATCAAACTCTGAGTTTTTTACTTTTCCAGTTTAAAGAAGCATGCAAATTGCAGTTACAGGGCTCAAATTTTTTCTTTTAACCTTATTGGTGGAGAGCCTTCAAGACATGGTGGGAAATTTTATCCAGGATAGAAGGAACAGAGAGAACAGTGCTACAAGTGAAAGCATGTTTTACTCTAATTTTATTACTCAGAACCATTTTCAGTAGAATGGTTTTAAAAAATTAAAAAACTAACCTGTTTTGATACTTGTGTCCACACTGTGAACATTCAAAGTTCCAAGAAAAAGAATACATGAAGAGCTTTTCAATGTGGGGTTCCATTTTTAAGAGCAGGGGAAATGCAAACACAGGGCTTTCTGTATCACCTTTAAAAAGAAAAGGAAAAATCATTGCTCATAAATAACTGCGAAAAGTAAACCCAAAACACAAACTGTTGTCTTTTCTCACAATGTTCACAGAATGAATTTATGTGAATAAACACATGACAGAGTAAGCTATACACACGTCGGCTTGGGGAAGTTTCTAAAGCATTTTTCTAAAAATCTTCATCATAAAGATTAATTATCACCTTAGTCTCTGGTAGATACTTAAGAAACTTAAGACAAAGGAAACTAAAGACCCATACTTATCTTCTGAGATCATTTTAGCTTTTCTCAGGAAAAACAAATCCTCAGAACTACCACAGCCATAGAACATTATAAAAACAAAACGAAGCTATGCAAATGGTTTGCTAAAGATAGTAAAAATAACATAACTGGTGAAAAACTGCAAAATAATCTCAGAGTTGGATAAAACTATTAAAAAACCATTTCTATTCCAACTCTCTTGGTCTACATGTGGAGAAGCAGACATAACACATGAACTTAAAGAACCAACCTCAAATGTGCTGAATCCTCCTTATCTACCACTCTTCATAAGCTTTTGGTCTCACCTTTTAACAAAATTAAACTTCAATAGCTTTAAGACTCGAGATCTGAATTTTGTTGTCATTAAAAGAAAAAACAACTGTGAATGTTGTCTTCCAGCTTTGAGATCAGCAAGCAAGTTAATTAAATAAGAAGATTTATATTCTCCTATTGGTTTCTCTCCTTCCTATCTTCAGGGAGCTTAGGTGCTGCCGTAAATGATTTGGCCCTAGAAACAATGAGTCCTTCCACCGCCTTCTCCCCTGGGACAGTCTCACTTCAGTGGTCCGGGTCTCCTCCTGGCCTGAGGTCCGGAACACCGCCAGGAGGAGTCACCTTGGCAGGACCAGAAGGCACAACAGTAGATGGTACTGCCTAAGCATACACTGTAAGGATGTGCAGTCACAAAGACTATTTGAACAGTCATCTTTGTGGTAGGTCTCACCGCCATTTATAAAATCAAACCAAAATATTTTTATAAATGGAAATACAGATCACCTAAAAATGAACATATGGAACACCACACACATACAACTGTAGTATAGCATGAGTGTGTAATCAGTGATCAGCCTTTAGAAGCTTACTCTATTGTAACTAAGCATTAATAAAAACTAAATAATTTACAATTCATAACAACATGGAATCTTTGGGTCTGAAAGTTCTCAATGAATCAAAATACCATGAACGAGCTCAAAACACACTGTTATATATAGCTCCTAAATTGATCTAAGTTTTTTCCTTTGATTACAAATTCAAAGCACCCACTAGAGAACATATAATACCATGCCTCATTCCAATTTTTATGACCTCCTGCCTAAATTAGTTACGTGGTTTCTTTGCCTCTAGTATCTTAACTCCAACCCCCCACCCCAACTCCTACCCAACTACCTAGTTTGCATATGTCATTAACGTACCTTAATTTGCTATTTACAAACCTTTCAGTGAGTCTTTGCTGTGTAGAGATTCAAGTCTTCTTTTCTGTTAGTTGTTCATTGTCTTCTGGCCATTTTTCTATCAGGTTGTCTTTTTAAAAAATTTGTGTAAAAGAGTTCTTTACAAGACATCCTGGATAGTATTTCTTTGACCAGAGGCCTTAAACTTTAATCACATTTACCAATTTTTTCTCTTATGCATCTTATTTGAGAAATTCTTCCCCACTGAGTGACAAAATATTCACCTATATTTTCTTCCCAAGTTTAACAACTCTGCTTTTCACGTTTAGGGCTCCTAATACACTGATGTTTCTTTCGGATTACAGTGTTGAGGAGGGATCCAAGAACCAACCGTCCCAGCGCCATTTGCTGGACAGCCTTTTCCTCCCCACTTATCTGCATCACCATCTCTCATATGGTAAAAAGTAAGCAAAGGGCAGGGTGGGTGGTGGGGGGGCCTGATCTGGGCTCTTTTCTGTTCGGTTGGCCTATCCTTACACTGGTATACAACACTCAAAGACCAAATCGCTCTTTGAATTTACATAAATAAGTAGAAACCATAACAGCAGCTTTTTCCTTAAAAAGAATTAACATAGACATTAGAGGGAAAGAAAACACCAAACTGGAGATAGTAGTTACCTTTGTGGGAAGGTAAGGAAGAACTGGGGAAGAGAACAAAGGGAGCTTTAGTTGTATTTATAGTATTTCTTAGATGCGGGGAGGGAGAGCAGAGAGAAGGACAGTTAACAATGTTTTTTTTTAAATAATCAAAATGATAAAGTGGCTGATCTTAAAAATTTAACCAACAATTAGGGTCGGTACAGATTTACTTCTCTCTCTTTAGTAGTTTCTAATACAAATTAATACTCAGAATGAGGTCACATATGTTGTAAAGTTCTCAAGTGATCTCTGAAGCAAAGACCAGGTTTCTTTAGTAAGATATTAGCTCTAATACAGCACATCACTGACTGAATAGCACAAATACAAACAAGAGAGGGATTCTGTTGTGCTTCAAGAGCTGCAAGCTTGCCCAACTGCTGACTGCACAAAATGATCATTTAAAAATCCCTTCTCTGTTACACAGAAAATTAGGCCCAAGGCAGCAGTGGAGCAAGATGAAACCTTGTTCAAGATATAATTATCAGAATAAGAAGGGGGATGATTCAGACTGGGGAAGAAACCACTCTTTGATTCAACCAGGAACTGGAGTAGAGGCCCTGAACAAAACGTCTCTGGTTGCTCTAGGAGGGAAATGATACCTGCCAATGCAGTGTGGGAGCCCCTGGGTCCACACGCTCTTACAGAAGAGGCTCCTCTCCTCTGAAATGCGTATTCACCCAACAAATCAGTGGCTGGGGTAAGGAAAGAGGCTGACGACAGAGGAGGCTGAGGAAAATTTTTGCAGTGATAGAACTGTTCTGTATATTAACTGTGATAATAGTTACACAACTGTATATATTTAAAAAGTGTAAATTTTATTTTATTACCTGTAAATTATACTTTGATAAAAAGTATGAGATCACACCTGGTGATAAATTAGAATAGGTAGGCCCTTTAGACCTAGCGGCAATACCAAAAATATGACATATGGAGAATCAGTTCATTATTACAAGAACAAAGTAAACTTATATACGTAAGAGTTCATGAAAACATAAAATAGTTGAACTAGAGGACTGTGGACCAAAGAACTAGGAGGTAACACCAGCAAAAAATACACTGCTTCCAGATACAATAGATATCTGGGTCTCATGAAATAAATGCTACTCACTGAGAGAAAAGCTGATGGCACTGATATTTTACATCATTGAATATGAGTAGTACACCAATAGGGATATTACATTATGCTACTATAACACAATTAAGCCCCAAGCTAATACAAGGAGAAAGAGAAATGAAACAAAAAGACATCCCCCTCCAAAAAAAAAAATCACCACTGGCTCCTTTTAGCAGTACTAAAAAAATTAAGAAAGACTGGGAGACTCCAGGGCCCTGCTCCGCTCTGCTCCCTGAGGGTAACAGAAGACAAAGCAAATGTGTCCATTTTAAAGATAGGAAAACTTTATCCAAAGGTCATCAGTGTATTCTCCCTGTATTCCATTGGTGAAAATTGTACCATATGTTCATTCTTAAACCAACTACTGGCAGAGGAAGTAGAATTACAATGGTTGATTCAGATCACAGATTCTCAACACTGTCCACTCTAAGAATCACTTGGGGGCTTTTAAAAATCACTGATATCTCCACTCCATCCCTTAGATTTTTATTCAGTGGGATAGGCCCCTAGCACTAGTATTTACTTTTAAATTCCCTAGGTGCCTTTTTAACAAAGTTAAGGTTGAAAATGCTGGATTACTCTACTTGGGGAAAGTACTAGAAAAGCAACCAATGGTGCATCCCCTGGGTATTCACCTAGTTCCAAGAACTGCCTCCACTCTCAAGGGGTGGAACACCAGCCAGCACACTTATACGAAACCAATAATTTAACCAGTGCTGGACTCCTAAATGGAACTACCCAGATTCTCTAGCCCAAGAATCTGACCATCCAAAGTACATTCCTTATGATGTATTTATGGTAGATAAGTTATGGACTTAAATTACACAAATTACTTACCTAATGTGCATCTAAGCTGAGGCTGAAGCTTAGTAAAAATTTCATCTCTTACTTCATTCAGACAGGTCTCTATCTTTGCAAATATTTCTGAAGTAAATTTTATACCATTTCCATCTAAAAACAAAATATCGAACGTTAATCAACTTGTCAATCTCCCTCTTGCCGCAGAAAATTAAGACATTACCAAGAATGAAAGTTTATCAGAGTCAATAAATTCTGAAGAGACAAAATGGGAAACAAGAAATTTCCTTAATTTCTATGGCATACCATTATTCTGCAACCAATATCTATGGTATACCATATGTTCCCTGACTGGTCAACAACGGGGAAACGTACAGGTTAACATGAAAGACTGCACAACAAAAGGCATGTTGAATAAAGGTAAGGATTCTTACCCACCAGAGAACAAGACCTAAGAAGCCCTAATAATTAAAAGTGTAATACTGGTGCAGGGATAGAGGAATGAAAAAAACAAAACTGAGAGTTAATGAATAGCTGCACGTGTTATATGACATAGGTAGCATGGCAAACCAATTTTGAGAAATAATGTGGAGGTGAAAAACTGGCTATGCAATGGGCTTACCTCACACCGTACACAAAAATTAACTCTAGCTGAATTAAGAATTTCAATGCCAAAAGCAAAACTTTATGACTTTTCAGTGAAAATACAGGTGAATGACTTTCTGATCTTAGGGAAAGATGTCTTTTAAAAGCCACAAACATTACTAGATAAAAAAGGGATGACTTAACAATTTCTGTACATTAAAAGCTATCCTTAAAAAAGCAAAAGCACAAGATGCAAATTGGATGGTTTAGCAACAAATATCCCACATAAAGATAGCAACAGACTATATAAAAACTCATACAAATCAATCAGAACTTGACCACAGAAGAGATGTAAGACACAAACAGGCATTTCTCAGGAGGAGGAACATACAGTCAATCTCCATATGAAGAGCTGTTCAACATTAAAATCTGGTAAAGGGCAGTCAAGACCATGGACCATTTACATTACTCAAATAGCAAAAATCTCCAAATGTGAATATTACCCAGGGAAAGTATCTGTATCAGGAAGAGCTCTTGTACATCACTAATGGGAGTGTTGATCAGTACAACCACTTTGGGAAAGAGTTCACCATTGTTCTATGAATCTGAACTCACAGCTATCATTTGGCACTTCCATTCCTATAGTATATCCAAGGGAAACTTTACTTGTACCCCAGAATGACTTACCCAAGAACAGTCACAAGAAGGGTATTTATAATGGCAAAAAACCCAATGACATATGAACGAATAAATCTATTAATATATTTACAAAATGAAAATAATATATAGCAATGAAAATCAATGAACCACAAATACAAGTAGTTTCACAAATAAATCTTTAAAAAAAGGAAAAGAGGTCTCAGAAGACATACTGTACAATATCCTTTTTATAAAATTCAAAAGGAACTAGACTAGGCAGTATCTTGTTTAGCCATACATACGTAGTAAACATCATAAAAAAAAAGAGGGAATGATGAAGTACTACAGGCAAATGATTACCTCTGTGGGGAGGTGGAAGATGGGATGGGAAGGAACACACATAGGTAAATGTAAATTACTGGGAACATTTTAATTCTTCTTGGGTTGGGAGGTGGGTTCATGGGTTACCTACTTTATAGAAAATGAAAAATATATTCCTCATTGTGAAGAGAGATTTAGGAGGAGTTGTGGGATTATGGGTGATTTATATTTACTTCTTTATTCCGGCAATTAAAAAACTTGAAATTCTACTTTAATGGGTTCAATGAGGATTCCCATCACTGACAGCTAGCGATACAACCAAAGCGTCTTTATTCTTAGTTTTTTTAAAAAGACTGCCTTTTGGGCAGTTCTGCAACTGGCGTTATCTCAAGCTTCACAGCACTGTCCTTGAGCTCCACGCTCCCACCTCTCTACACAAAACAGAGGCTACTAATGGAATCTCTTCTACATGCTATGAGACCAAACTCATCATTAACTTCTTTAAAAATTGAAAAGAAATAAAATATTACCCACCTTTAACTCCATCCAACTGATTGGTATGCAGAAGCTTATTGGCTTGATTATAATTTGTGAACAAGCGCCAGAGCACAGATTCCTCCTTAGAGCACAGGTCAGTCACGGGGTATTTTAACCCTTCCAAGTGCACCAATGCTGACAGGATACAGTCTAACCAACAGAGAGCGTGAGAGTTTTTCCACTGGACACATAAAGACTGGCGCAGTGATGTACATTTGCTCTCCAATGGCAATTCCAGTTCAGATGTGCATCCTTCATTTTGAGGAGAAATCCTTCCACTTCCAGAAACATCAACTCTAGTAGGATCTTCTTTAGCAGCCATGCCAGCAGTATCGGCTTCCAAAATCCCAGTCTGCCCGAAGGAGTCAGCCATCCTAACTGGATCCTGCTGACTACTGTGTGGTCTACCAGGCAAGTCTGATGAGATTTCATCATTGGCTTCATTATGTCTGCTGTTCGAACCTTGTTCACCATCAGTAACAAACTGATTTTTAGTCTTTTTACAATTTGCTAAAAAAGGTGAATCTTTATCACTGGTTTCCAAGATCTTTCTTTTTTTAGGCTTATTTGGAG